CATATGCATATGATAGAGAGTTATGAGGTATATGTCTGAGAAGTGGATGAGATGAAGAAGAGAGAAAAACATCGAATGTGTAAGGATGGTAGGGAGGGAAGAGACAGAGAGCGATGGTCAAGATGATGGAAAGGGAATTAAGTAAGAGGAACATGACAGACGGTAAAGCAGCATAAGAGAAAGCAACCAAGCCAACAAAATCTGCTCACTGTTTGTTCCCTGATCCCACCTGCATCCTTACTGCTTTGACGGTGAAAAACTACCCTTAATGACATGAGATAACTTAGTGTTCTAATAATATCTTCTTGCCAAGACTTGTTGGAGACCTATGTTGGATACCCGTCATGTGCAACAAAAACTTCCTGAAAATACAAGGTGGGACTTTTCCCCTTGAATTTATCTTGAAAAGATTAATTGTTTACACCAGGGGAATACCACCATGCATATAAAAACAACCCTATTATCTTTGTGTAACACTTAATTATACATCATAGTAGATCGTGCTTCAAAAATTATTTCTAACTATAATTTTTAATAAAATTTAGAAGTTTGATTCACTTGCTAGGTATCTATACCATTTAGAATTTTAACTTTACTCATCTGAGGAATTGTGGCATCAAACTCTTACAGGTGTTTAATACATTCTGGACACAAAATTGTTATTTTGGGAAGTACTTTCTTAGCACTAATTTGCAACTTATTTTCTCACTGTACTTGAGGATATGAAAGGAATTAAGAATTAGGAAAAAAGACCAGATCCTCAACATGTCTTCCACATATATTACGTCATTGCAGAAATGGCAGGACCCTATCATGGATATAGAAGCCCAGATCATTACATAATGTCTAGCTTAGTGAGTAATATACCTCCAAGCAGAGGCTCTTACATGTAAGTGTGAAAGTCATGAAATAAGGTCATGTTTTTCCATCAAAAATAGTTTTAGAACTCCTAGGTAAATAGCCATGGAGTATCTGAGCAATATGTTCATTTATACGTCATCTTTCAGATATATAAAATGATTCATATATTTTTACATATTTAATTATACATGCAGCTTCAAAGATAGTATAAAAATATAAGTGACAAGCACTTTTTAAGTACATATTTTGTGGGAAAGAAACATTGACAATTTTAAGATACTTTGGGGGTGTATGGTCATCACGTTTACACTTGAGACATAAATTTTGTAAAATCTGAATCTATCTCTTTCAGGGCTCACAGGATTTAGTCGTGCTTTTCTGTGACAAAAGGAAACAGTGTAAAATCAAATTAGGGACTCATCACTTAAGATTTCCTTTCAGACCAGGTAGTCGCTACATACTGTGTAGAGACAGACATGGATGAAGGTGTATAAGTTGGGGAAGAAACACAACGACGTGAATCTATGTAATGCAGAGTTTGGAGTTAATAAAAATAAGACACAAGAGAGAAATAGAAAGGAGGATGCCGATACTGGTTTTGTTCAAAATAAGCTTGGAATATATATACATAGGGCAACTGGAAATGTCAACTTTTTAAGTACCTCAATCATTATTTTAAAAACTTGAATATTAAAAATTTTCCATTGAGAAAACAAGTTATACGTGCTCATGACAAAGAATACAGCAGGAGGCCTGGTTACTGAGTTTAGGGACAGCTTATATGTGGAACAAGATGACCACACAGTTCGTGGTCCTTTTATATAATTTCTTTCTGGATACAACCAGAGATTACTGGAGATATACCCCATTGTGGATTTGGGAAAGGAAATACATAAGATGAGTCTGGGAATACTTTTTTGTCCTCAAAAATAAGGAAGCCATTAAAGACTCCTGAGGTGCTGTAAAAAAAAAACACACACACACACACAATAGAAAATTTGAAGATACAGGACACCTGGGTGGCTCAGTTGTGAAATGTCTGCCTTCGGCTCAAGTCATGATCCCAGGGTCCTGGGTCGAGCCCTGCATCGGGCTCCCTGCTCAGCGGGAAACCTGCTTCTCCCTCTCCCACTCCCTCTGCTTGTGTTCCCTCTCTCGCTGTGTCTCTCTCTGTCAAATAAATAAATAAAATCTTTAAAAAAAAAGAAAATTTGAAGATGCTCACACTCGTTTAAGAGAGATATTATGAGCATGAACAGGAATAATGGAACAAAAATAATATTTTTAATGGAAAACATTAAAAATATATAAAATCCATGAATTTATAAAAATTCTTAGAAAGAAAACTATTGTTTGCAACTGGACTTTGCTAAGGCACTACGCTGATGCATGAAAATTGGAAAATAAGTATCCATCTAGCTGTATACATGACTTCTATTTCAGGGCAATTTCTTAATTTTTGAGAAAAAATTCCAGAAGGAATGATAGCATTAGAAAAATGCCATATTGCAATATCTAAAGAAATAATAGATTGAGTCAATGACACTCATCAATGAATGCTTAAAACCCTTAGGTGAAGTGTTAATGGGGATTGTGATAAGGGAGGATTCCAACTGAACATTTCTGGCTGACATTAGCGTCCCCAAAAGGGACCAGGCAGGCATGAAGTGCCTCTTCGTATGACAGAACAGAAAATGTAAAGCATGGCCTCTAAAGTCTGATCACCCAGAAACAGCTGAACTTTAATCACATTAACTCTCTATTCTAAATACAATTTTACAGTATATAGAGGGATAGAGAAACAAGTTAAATTACATTAGGAAGAAACAATCTGCCAAATGCAGAATATAGGACAGTCCATAGGCCTAGTTTTCTAAACCATCAATGATAAAAGAGAAAAAGGAATGGAGAAATGTATCATAAAACAGATTAAGAAGACATAATACCCAGGGGCACCAGGGTGGCTCAGTCGTTAAATAAATAAAATCTTAAAAAAAAGATATAACACCCAGAATTAATGCACGAGCCTTGTTTGAATCCTGAATTAAACATATATACCACTACAAAAAATCTTTGAATCGACAGGAAATATCTGAATATGGACAAGATATTAAATAACATTAAGTAACACTAAGTGATTAGTCATTTGTTAGCTAGATTAATAGCATGTTGTCATGTAAAATATTAATATTATTTTCAGTTAAAGCAAATACTGAAGTTCTAGTTTAAAAATGATACAAAAAGGGCACCTGGGTGGCTCAGTTGGTTGGGCATCTGCCTTTGGCTCAGATCATGAGCTCAGGATCCTGGGATCCAGCCCCGCACTGGGCTCCCTGCTCTGTGGAGAGTTTGTTTTTCCCTCTTCTTCTGCCCCTCTCTCCACTCATGCTTCCTCTCTGTCTCTCAAATAAAAATAAAATAAAATAAAAAATAATAAAAAATAAAAATGATACAATGTCTGGAATTTGCTTTAAAACCGTAGCAAAAATTAATTAAAATACATAAATAAATACTGACTAAATAACTACAATAAAAACAAGGAGGGGTTATCACTGGACAAAACTGATGTGTTCATAATTTTTAAAGCTGGTTTCTGAATATGTGGAAGTTCACTAAATAATATTTTTTCTACCTTTTTATGTTCCAAATTTCCACAATAAATCATTAGAAAAAACAAATGTTCTTGTTTTCTATTTTCTTTTCTCTACATCAATAATCTTCTCCTTACTGTTATGTTATCTTTAACATGTAAATATGCTCTCAGCTTTCCCACGTGATGAAACATCAGCGCACAAACAAACAAATAAATAGCAGCCTCTTGACTTCATTTCCTCTGAAAATTACCATTCCACTTCTTTGCTCCCATTTGTAGAAAAATGCCTTGAAACAGTTAGGTGCTTCTACTTGTTTTCTCTTGTTCTCTTTCCAATCTCTCTTAAATTCACTACAATCAAGATTTTGTTTCCACGATTACACAGGAGTTGTTTGTCAATTTCACCAATGATGGCCATGTTGGACATTTTTTAGGTCGATTGACAGGTCTTCTAGTCTTATTCTAACGAGCAAAAGCATTGACCCAGAAGAACTCTGTTTCCCTTGGTTTTTTTTAACCACAAAGTACTGTGGTTCTTTGGTTTCCCCATGCCTCACTGGTCACTTCTGTCTTCTTTGTTGATGTCTCCTCTTGAGGCTGACCTTGGAAAGCCTATTGATGACTTTAAGTATGTATATGCTGATGATTTCCAAGTACATAGTATCAGCCCATATCTTTCTCATGAATTCCTGATAGGTATCTGTCTACTTGACATTTTTACTTGAAATCTCATAGACAGATATAGTTCATTCTCTGCATCTCCAAAACTGAGTGTCTGGTCTTTCCCCACAAACTTGTTTCTCCTACAACCTTTCTCAATTCAGTTGATGGAAGCTTCGTCTTTTCAGTTATAGAGTCAACAAGTATAGGAAGAGTTGTTCTTAATTCCTTCCTTTTCTCACAATTCATATCCAATCAGTCAGGAAACCCTACCATCTACCATAATATATTTAAACCGAATGACTTCTCCCTACTTTTACTGTTTCCATCACGATGTCACCCCATGATTTTTCAGAAATAGTTTCCCAAGAGATACCTCTGGTTCTGCCCACCAGGGTTCTAGTGTATTCTCAACACAGATTTTATTTAAAGAATTATAGCTAATGCATATCAAATCTTCATTCAAAAGCCTTTGAACTCATTTCATCAAGAGTCAAACCCAAAGTCCTGACGTCTTACAGACCCTATAAGATCTGAGTCCCTGTCATCTCTATTGACTTCCCTCCTATAAGACTGAGCCATGACATTAAAAGGGCCCCTCTTAGGGATTCTGCACTGACTAATAATATTGAACACTTAATATATGCATAGCATTATCTTATTTAATGTGGATTGACTCAATGACTTTTATTATTATTATTTTTAGAACATCTTAAATTTTTAATCTTTTCTTTACAGGTTACCTAGACCACTTTTGATTAAGAAAACTGTATAAAGTTAGTAACTGCCACAAGCAAACGCCAGGCGGCGGCACGTGTCAATTTTCCACGGACTCCTGCTTTGCAGGGTCTCCGCTCACACTCGCTGCAATCGGTCGCGGCAGAGTTTAGTCCACAAGTCGCTTCTCCCCGTATTTCTTTGTAAATTCTTCAGCATTCTTACAGAATTTTTTACGGTCCTTAGAGCATTCTTCAGCTAGGTCAGCCCGAAGTGGGTGCTCGGGCTGGGGGTCGTTCACCAGTGCTATGAGGGACTGGATTACTTGGTCGGTTTTGGTTGCTGGCTTCCAGGTTTCAGCACTAATTACTGGCAGACAGACCTGCCCCTTTTCATCGATGTTCGGGTGATAGATCTTTGTTTTAAATGTGATCTTCGGTGGTTTGTATGGGTACTGTGCTGGAAAGTTGATTTCGATTCTGAAGGCCCCCTTATCATATGGAGGGTTGTCAGGAACAATAAGCCCTTGCCAAGTCAATAAATTAGCTTCATCAACCTGGATGTTACGGAAGTTTTTCATTCCGCATTTGCGGATTTCCTTAAGCTCCTTCATCAGCCTCCTGCTGGCCGCCATCTTGGATCTGGTGCTGCTGCTTTCCCAGCTCAATGACTTTATTTTTCATGCTCATTTCCAGAGAGATAATCCTCAAATTTCAGAGAGATTGAATAATTTTCCAACGTGACCATGTAACTGAGTTACTGTTTTAACCCAGATCTTTCTGACTCTAGCGCACATATTCTTACCTCTAAGCTCTACTTCCTCTTGTGCTGTAATAGAAAAGTCAGATTCCTCATAATCCAGACATTTATATATTTAAAAAATATATAAAAGAATCCCCCAGACTTTCATTTTCATTAAGAGTGAGTAGTAAATTTTGTTCACTATTGCTAGTAGAAATTATTTCTCATACTTACCTCCTGTCTTAATCACATTTTACAGGGTTTACAAGCTAATGCTGCAAATGTCTTGGTTCAAATTCTAATTTTCTATAGTAAGCATTGCTTGGCGTTTTTAAACAGGTTTCAAATAAATTTGATGCTATTGCTGTTTTATGATCCACACTTCCTTTTCCCCCACTGCAAACACATAATGAATGTTGTTGTTGTTGTTCTGGAAAGTAGTTTACTCTTTTTTCTTCTCACAAGTCTTTCACCAAAGGCTCGACCTGCTCAGTGGCCCCCTGGGACACACAAGATCATAGGCTTGCTTCTAGAGTGCTGTTATGAACTTTCCTTAGCTGCCAGTGTGATAGTTCACTTTTTTTTTTCCACTGGAAGTAAAAAGCAGTTTATATAACATATTGTTGACATGGCCAGGGGCCAAATACTTAAGACTGTGCTTTGCATTTTATAGTCTCCAAAATCTGTAAGCATAAACTGGAACAAATCTTTACTGCTTGAAGGCCTCTTGCTTGACACACTCTTTGTGTGATCATCCATGGCAGCCAACAATATTTAATCAGCACAATTCCATGTTAACTTATATTTTTGAACAATGTGTAACATAAGCAAAGCTTCCTAGTAACTCAAGATTGATATTCACCTTATTGAATTTAATATGACATTTTATCCCTGTTTGGGTTAGCTTGAGATACTTTGCATAATCATGGGTAATTTCATTGGCAGATGTATTTAAAATAAGTTGTTTAAATGCCTCATAGTTTAAAAATATGCCTAACTTGTGAATTTCTCTCTTTGAGTTTCTTCCATCAACATGGTAGGCTAAGGTAAGAGTGAATTTTATGTCCTCTGACATTAATAAAAAGAATTGCAGATTTTGCTGTTGAAGGAGCATGATCAAGAACCTCTTCCTTATCCTATGGTGAAAAATTCAGTTGTCCAGGAGGGGAACCAACATTACTTTTCTTTCTGCCCTTAACTTTCCTTTTTACTCTATGAAGTTGGAGAGTTTGGAGAGTTTCCATTTTAATGCAAACACCGAAAGGCAAGGTTGGTTGTCTTTAGGATTCTTGGCAACATTAAGAATGAAAATAACATACCCGAATATTGACACATACCACTCCTTAAAATTTGTTAGACCCCAAAGTAAGTATATTATTGAATTGTGGATTGACAAACAGAAAGAGTCAGATAAAATGACTTTCTTAACTTGACCAAGCTTACTCTGATTTTCCTGAGCTCATGTGATTATCAATTCTTGACTACTTCTGTAGGTCCTGCTAGATGGCTCACCATTGCCAGGAAACCCCCATCTTACATGGTCCTTGATAGGCCAGTTTGCTGGGAAAATGCATAGAAATGGGATTTTCTTTCCCAACAACCCCAAGATGAGCTGTCTTTGGGTCCTGAGTGCCCCTAAAATTATTTAAACCTCATTTCCAGCCAGAGACTTCATCAAACATTTGACTTCTTGGATTTGGGTTGGGGTATTTCATTTCCAAATCTGCTACAGCATCTGTCCCAGTCCTTCTAATTTGCAGGCTCATTCGCTGTAGACCTGAAGGAGACGTAGTTTCTTATATTATTGGATGTGAACACTCATGAGAAGATATCCTTAAAAATAGGAGAATACTCTCAGGTTTTCTGAGCATTCTCAATCACTCCATAATATGAAGAGACTTTGAAAGCAATCCTCCCCATTGGCTTTAAATCTGATGTTATTCTATGGATTGCCATATAAAAGTGGACTCGGAATTATCTATCTCACAATGATTTTAAATTGGATCTAATACATCATTCTTAAGATCCAATTTATGCCATCTCTAAGAAGTTGCTATACAAAATACCCTTGGCATTTGAAATTATTTTGATCCTCTGAAAGCAGTTTGATGGCATAAATTCTATATTAGTATAATTTCATGGAATGAATCTACTTCACTATATTTTGCTAATATTTATCATTGTGAAATACTCAACTATTAATTGGAAAACAAATGCTATGATGATCACAGGTAATCTTATCCCTAAGAAATAACTATTGTTAACAGCCCTAGGCCCCAAGGATTTGCAAATACAATGATAGAATGTGGAGTCAAATGCTGGGCTTCCTTTGGCAACTTGAATCTCAATGCTATCTTACCTAGGAGCCACAAATTCTATTTTTTGTTTTTAAAACTGTGTAATTGCCTAAAGCTCTAATCAGCCTTTTTTCCTTTTAGTTGCTGTTTTTAAAAATCCTATTTCTTAGCTTCATAACACAAATTAATGTGATTATATTGAGTTAGAGTTCTTCGTATCACATCAACAATGATTGCGATTTTCAGTTCATAGAAAGAATTACATGATTGATCCCCTAAAAATAATTCTTTATTGCACATATATTCCTCGGGACACTCATAGGAAACCTGTATTTGGCTAGAAGTTTGCTAATTTCTCCACTTTATAAGAAACATTCTGTCAACTTGAAAAATATCAGTTCTTGGAATGTCTTCAAAATTTGTCAAGTTCATTGATTTTTTGAAGTGTTTCATTTATCTTGGAATCATGTTATTTTAGGTACAATAGATTATATTCAATAATTGAAAAAATATTTTTATTACTCTATATAGTATTTGCTTGCTATTAAGACTTATTCCTTTATAATCAGTTTCTTTAGATCAAACACCATACTTTCACAATGAACTTCTAGTGGGAGAAATCTTTCCACTTCTCAGAAAGATTTTAATCAGTTGTTATATTCAAAAGAAAAAAATCACTTTTGCAAAGATCGATAAAAATGGCATGGATCACTGACAAATATAGAAATTGTCATATTACTAACTATAAATAATTAAAAACTGCCATATATTGAATCTTCCGTCAGGTCTGATTCTCAATAACATTATCCACGGGGAACAGAAATACAGTGCTTTCCCATGTAGTGTCTCTTAATCTGTGGCTCAAAGATTACCTGCATGAAAATCCTTGCTAATTATTTGACTGAAGATTTTTCATAATTAATGAACAGCATACATCACTTCATTTGAAAATAAAACCATACATGTACAAAGCTATTTTGTTCCAGTTATCTATCACCACTTATCACACCATCCTGAATTTAGGGGCTTAAAATAACAACCCATGAATTCATTAAATCACACGATGTTGTGGGTCAGAAAGCCAGGAAGTCTGGGAATTCTCTTGTCCCTCCAGTGTCTTTTATTTATTTATTTATTTATTTATTTTCAAATCAGACTTTTTTTTTTAGGTTTTTTTTTATTCATTTTTTAACAGAGAGAGAGACAGCGAGAGAGGGAACACAAGCAGGGAGAGTGGGCGAGGGAGAAGCAGGCTTCCCGCTGAGCAGGGAGCCCGATGTGGGACTCCATCTCAGGACCCTGGGATCATGACCTGAGCCGAAGGCAGACGCTTAACGGCTGAGCCACCCGGGCGCCCGGTTCGTCTGGTGTTTAAATGTATTCAGCTGACATCTGTTGGGGTTGGGCCAGGTTGTCCACGAAGACTTTGCTCACATGCCTGGTATCTTGGTGGGGATGGGTGGAAGACGGGGCTCAGATGGCTATCTGGTTCCATCCACGTGGTCTCTGGGCCACTTTGTGAATTTCGTCTATGCAGCGGTCATGCCGCTTGCATGGCATCTGGGTGAGGAGATCAAGGCAAGGGCTACCTGTTCCCTTAGAGGCTATTTCCAGAAATGAAGTAGCACCCCTTCACTGTATTTCAATGTCAAAGCAATCACAGGCTAACCCAAATTCAAGGAGAGCAGAAATAGATCCCACTTTTCAGTGGCAGAAATGTCAAATAAGTTTTTTTTTATTATGTTATGTTAATCACCATACGTTACATCATTAGTTTTTGATGTAGTGTTCCAGGATTCATTGTTTGTGCATAACACCCAGTGCTCCACGCAGAACGTGCCCTCTTTAATACCCATCACCAGGCTAACCCATCCCCCCACCCCCCTCCCCTCTAGAACCTTCAGTTTGTTTCTCAGAGTCCATAGTCTCTCATGGTTCGTCTCCCTTTCCGATTTCCTCTCCTTCATTTTTCCCTTCCTGCCATCTTCTTTTTTTTTTTTAAACATATAATGTATTATTTGTTTCAGAGGTACAGGTCTGCAGTTCATCAGTCTTGTACAATTCACAGTGCTCACCATAGCACATACCCTCCCCAATGTCTATCACCCAGCCACCCCATACATCCCACCCCCCACCGCTCCAGCAACCCTCAGTTTGTTTCCTGAGATTAAGAATTCCTCATATCAGTGAGATCATATGATACATGTCTTTCTCTGATTGACTTACTTCACTCAGCATAATACCCTCCAGTTCCATCCACATCATTGCAAATGGCAATATTTCATTCCTTTTGATAGCTGCATAATATTCCATTGTATATATATATACACCACATCTTCTTTATCCATTCATCTGTCGATGGACATCTTGGCTCTTTCCATAGTTTGGCTATTGTGGACGTTGCTGCTATAAACATTGGGGTGCACAGACCCTTTCGGATCCCTACATTTGTATCTTTGGGGTAAATACCCAGTAGCACCATTGCTGGGTTGTATGGTAGCTCTATTTTCAACTTTTTGAGGAACCTTCATACTGTTTTCCAGAGTGGCTGCACCAGCTTGCATTCCCACTAACAGTGTAGGAGGGTTCCCCTTTC